CTTCTGTGTCTTTAGAGCTCCTTCTGGTACCCAAATCTGTATTAAGGCTCTCTAGAGAAACAGAATCAGTTAGAAAAGAAGATTTATTAGATGGGCTTACATGGTCAGAGGATAGTCTCATAGTAGTCATTTGCAAGTTGGAGAACTGGGGAAATCAGTAACTAATCAGTCCAAGAAGCCGAAAATCTCACAATGGGAGGGACCAATGACCCAACCCCCGGAGGAGGCTGAAGGCCTGGAAGCCCTCTGGAGAGTCTCTGGTGTGAGTCCACTTTCAAAGGCTGTAGAAGCTGGTGTCTGGTGTCCGCAGGTGATAGTATCAGCAAAATTCCCAGCTGCTCAAGAAGAATCGAGCTGGCAAGTTCAGGCAAGCTTTCCCCATCTTCCTCTATCTGTTCCTTCTGGGCCCCCAGCCACGGGACAGTGCCACCTACATTCAAAGCAGGTCTGCTCCTCTCATTTTACTGAGCTATGTGCCAACTATCTCTGGAAACATTTCACATACACACCCAGAATTGTGCTTCACCAGCTTTTTCGGTTTCTCAGTCTACTTAGGTTGATCACCAAAATTACCCATCACACAGACCTAAGCTATGAAATCAAAAAGTCCTAGATTTCATCCTTTTAAAACAAATTCATACCTGTTATCCACCTGGGACCTTTGCCCTGCCATTTGACACAGGAGACAAATGTTTCACATGTTTTGCAAGTGAGATAGGTTTAGCTTTGTGAGAATGGTTCCTTTAGTCACTCAGTGGTCGCTGATGGAACCAGTTCTTTAACTGTGGTTTTTTTCTTTAATTGTCCAATTTTGTCAAGATACATGGATTCTTCTAGGAGAATCTTGGCAATTTATAATACAACTGTTTTGGTATCAATCATACTATTTCTGATAGGTGGTAAGATAAAATGTGAGGAAGAGAGATGAATTAGACTCAGGCTGAAGGGAAACAGGCACAAAATAATATAATAATGATATAATTGGGGGCCATTTATATTTACTAAGCACTTCTGCACATGTGATCTAATTTTATTTCCTCAATAACCTGCATTTGTCCGGTAAGTGAGGACAAAATGAAGGCCTTAACATATTTAACAAATTTTCAAGAAAATTTAATTACAAAGGAAAAAGACAAGTAGTAAAAATCAGCTTATAGGATTAACAGCAGTGAATTATTCCCATTATGGCTCCCAGTGGAATTGCCTCTAGGATAAAGAGGAAATATCAAAATGTTAACAGAGGTAGGGACTGATTTATGGTATTTCAAACACCCTTTATTATTCTTGGTATTTTTATTTTTGTGTTTGTGTTCATTCCCCTCTTGGGTGAATATGTATTAGGAAGAAAGTAAGCTATTAAAAGTGCACATAGAAAAGATGGTGGTAGCTACTGGTTTGGAGCATTGCAGCCTATGTTGATTGAAGAGGATGTTCACTCAGGGAAGTGAGCAGGAGAAGCCTAGAGCAGGTATTAGATTGGAATTGGAGGTTGCCTATATGAACTCAGATATTCAGTAGATAAATAAATACAGAAATGGATATGGACAAAAATATGTGTGTGTATACACATAATTCGGTAAATACTCATGTTATATACCCACATATATTCCCCTGCACTGTCCACTGAGATGACCTAGAACAACAACATCCAGAAAGCAACAAGCATGTCTAATGCCCAGACCTTGAATCTTGATTTCTGCATATCATTATCCAATAAAAGCAACCAGAACACCTGGAAGAATGGCTCATTCCAGGGCTGGGGAAGGGTAAATATTAAATCAACTTGGAACATGATGTTGTCCTAAAAAGTCAGGAAATGTCAACTTGCATGGGCATCAGATGGCCAAATCAGGAATATTCTGAGCATCAACACAAGTTAACAATGAGCAACAGATTATACCCCTTTGAATAAAAAGAGAAACCCATGAACCCATACTGATATAATTAAATGAGTGGATAAATAAATGGGGAGGATAACAAGCATTTGAATGCTGGTAAGTGTAGAAGGAATGAGAGAATTTTAAAGTCATTATGTGGCAGCCACCTGTAATAAATAATTTGGCCAAGAAATGACAATGGAAATTAATGAATGAAAAAAAGTTAATGAGGACTGGTTTACTCATGGAATCCTAAAATATTTTTAGGTCCATAAGAAAAAAAGTAATTTCACAGGGGGAGATTTAATAGATACTACCTTAATCAAGCTATCACAAATAATGACAGGAATCAAAATCACGTACCACCTGATAGGATGGAATGAGAAGACAGCACCACTTCTTTGATACTCCTACCAATGCTGCAGAACTTCACAACCTGAATCTGTTTATGAGGAAGCGTGAGAGACATTTCCAATATAATCTTTAAAATGCCAAAGCCATGACACTTATGTAAAGAATGAGGAGTTATTCCAGACTTAAGGACTCTAAGCACAAGGGACATCAAAATGCAATACCTGATGTTGAACTGGACCCTTTTACAATAAAGGACATTATTGGAACAATTGGAAAAACCTGAATGGGATCTGAGACTAAAGTGCTGGTCATGCATCTGTATTAATTTCCTGCCGCTGACAGTTTGGTGGTGCTGGGGATTGAACTCAGGGCCTCACATATGCTAGGCAAGCACTTTCACCACTGAGTCACATCCCCAGCCCCCACTGACAGTTATTTTAGAGAATGTTCTTGCTTATAAGAATTACACACTAAATTTTTTCATGGGTGATATGGATGATTTACTTTCAAGATATTCAGGAGAAATTTTTGTTGTTTTTTTGGTAAGTTTTCTATACATTTAAAAACATATCAAAATAAAAAGCACATTATGATAAGTATCACAGTAAAAGAATTATATGCATAGAATTGTATGGAAAACGACGTGAGTAACACTACCACCAAAAAATTTTACTTAAAAATTGACTTTTAAATTGCATTCTACTATGTTTCGAGAATTAATCAGATTCCTTTAATGATGTGCTATTGTATACCTATAGTGTTTATTATTATCCAGGAGACATTTTACAACACTCGGTTATGCTATATAGTTTGTCAGCATATTCGGCTTATTTGGATTCAGTGCATAGCCCAATCATTGTGTAAAATAAAGTTTTTTATCTTAAACACACATGCAAATCTTCACTATTGCCTAGAGAGATTATTTGTCCCCATCACATGGCTAGGAAGTGAGAGGAACTGACCTTGATCTGTGTCCTTCTGCCTGCAGTTCTCCACACATAACAGGGTGTAAGACCTGGCCAAGGCAGTGCAGAGTCAGCCAAGGAGAGAGGAGGTTCCAGTCCTGGGCTCCATGTTGAAAGCAAAGGCCTTCCTTTATCAAGACCCACTCTAGGGAGCAGAACCAGGCAGTGCCAATATAGAGGGCCATCCACCCTCTAGAGAGACATTGGGCATAAGAGAAAGGTGATTTAAATGCTCTGAAGTTTATTTAGTTATATTCTGGACTTTCTTTTAAGAACTGAAATTCAATACACGGTTTTGTTGTCTGATTTTGCCATTATTTGTTAAATCGGTTTTGAAAGCCTTTTAGGCTAGACATCTGCTTTCTTGGCCAGCCTTTCCTCCCACTTCTGCTTTGTTGTAACCAAAGGAAAGCCTGAATAAACCCTCCAGCTTCACTTGCTTTCAGTTGACTTTAAAATATGCTCATTTTGGAGGTCACGCAGCTGAGCCATGTATTTTTAGTCTCCCACCAGCTTTGCTACAGACAGCGCCTGTGACTGGTGGTCATGATGATTCTGGTTGCCTGGGCTGCTTTGCAAGGACTTTAAGGCCACAATTGTGAAAAGTACAAACTCTTCCTTTGGACCTGAGGATATCTGATGGGTGATGAAATTTGGGATAGAAAAGCTTGGCATCTCTGCCTTCACTCTGCATCTGCCTCCTTTGCTACCTTAACCATTGAGTCAGATTTACAGTTGAGTCACATGTTAGGGAGTGTGTGTCTGGAATTGGTGTTGCAAAGTTGATTAGTCCCAACTTTACCTAATCTGTCTCTTCCCCTTTCAAGGCTGAAGACAACAAGATAAGAGTAACTAAGATATTATTGAAATTTACAGACATCAGGATCACCAATCACCACCTCTTACAGGCCACCAGAGTGGAACCTAGAAGTCCCCAGTGGTCAGTCCTTCCCTTTCCTTGGCTGTCTTTGTTTCCCCCTCCCCTGGGGATTAAAGTTGCTTACACCTAGGCTGGGTTGAGATGGTCTTGTCAGCATGGCCTCCATCTTCTGGACTGGCTTGCTTGCTTTCCAAATCTTTTTCCTTGTGTCAACAGCTCACCCTTGAGTGAGTGGCAACTACATGAACCTGGGTACAGTTATCCATACACTGTGTTACCCTGGGGAATGGCTTTACCATGCATCTTTATTCACAGACAAAAATTCAAGAGGCAGAATGATAAGGAGAAGAGATTTCTTCAGGTTTAAGGAACCTGGTATTTTTGGCTGTTTTTTTTTTTTTTTTTCTGGTTTCATTTCTCCATCTTCTGGGTGCTCAGGGGTGAGGAAAGCTTTCATGAGAGAGACGTTCATAAGAAAAGTGAAACACAGGAAAGTAAAAATACAAACGCAGATTTAGTGATCCAGAGAACCTATCAGTCTCAGCTCCTTGGAGGTATTTCCTCAGTAGTTTTTATTCTCATTTGAGGAAATTCAGAAACTAAAGGAATTTGGATCTTTAATTTCAAAAGGAATTCTGTTTCAAATTCTGCAGAAAAGCAAGTTATCAGGATGTTGCCCTTCATTTCAGAGGAAGTCAGTTTCACTTCACCTTCACCCCAGAACTGCCTGACACTGCCCCCACCCCCAAAGCAAATGTGGTCCTAGACTCTGCATTCTGTTCTTTGGTGAACCCAGAGCATGGTCAGACTTAAATAAGGTGCTGGGCATAAAGTCCAGGTCTGGTCAGGAGGGAGAGGCAAGTAGCCCCTGTTTGGAACCATATCAGCTGAGAAGATAACTCCTCTTCTGTATTTGTCTTTCAGGAAAACGCGGATGCCTTGGAGAACAGTTGGCTAAGACTGAGCTATTTATTTTTTTCACTTCCCTTTTACAAAAATTTACCTTCAAGCCCCCAAACAATGAGAAGTTGAGCCTGGAGTTCAGAATGGGCCTCACTGTCTCCCCTGTCAGCCACCACATCTGCCCTATCCCTAGGGGATGATGCTGTTGGTGAAGGAAAAGGAAAGACAGGGGAAAAAAAAAAAAACCACAGGTGCTTTGGAGCTGCTGGTGCCTGCTCAGATGTTTGGAAACAGAATGAAGGTGATGCCAAGGAAAGAGGAAAGAATCTGGACTAAAAGGAAGCTGGATCCAAACCCTGGTTCTGCCATGTCCCCCAATATAGCCCTGGAATAATCACTTGTGTGTTCATTGATTTACCTTCTCATCCAGGAGGTGAAAAATTATTTCCCTTCAAAAAAAAAAAAAGGTCCTGTAAGAATTAAAGGAAACAATGGATTCTAAGTGATTCCTACACCATAAAAACATATCCTAAGAATAATGACTACAGTCGTGCCTACTTCCCGCCTCCTTCCTTGGCCATGTATTTGCTTCTAGCTGGTTGACATAGTTCAGGTTGAAGTGGTGCAAGACAGGCAATGAGATACAAAGTGGAATCCTGGGGGCAACCATGGAGACAGACCATAAAGTCTCTCTCATTTGTGTCCGCTTTATCTTGTTTTGGCCTTAGAATGGTCCCCTGGCTAGTGACCAATGGATGAGTCTATTCACACGAAGTGGAAGCAACAGTTTCTATGATTTGCCTCCTTAGAAGTAGGCACAATAGAGTGTGACCACAGTGAAGCCAACCTGGAAATCAGGTTTGAGAATAAAAGTGAAAAGAGTTTGTCTTATAGTACCTCTGTTTTGAGTCCTCCATCAGACACTCATTCCCATAATGTTTCACATTGGATTTAACTGTAAGCTTTTGTTGGCTAATATTACCACCTTATAGTCTGGTAGAGCATTTTATAGCAGAACATCAGAAATGCCAGAATCCTGTCATAAAATAGAGGACCAGGGACTGTCTAAGAAGTTTTAGCCCAACCCCAGAGCAAACCTACCAAACGGCCTGGTAAACTGAACTGAACTTCATCCAAAGGTCTGACCTTCCTCCTTTCCTTCCTTTCTTCCTTTCTCTCTCCTCTCTCTCTCTCTCCCTCCCTCCCTCTTTCTTTGGAGAAAGATTTCTTTTCTTAAAGTGGCTAGATCTAGGTAATTTAGTAGCTCATAACTGTCAACAGCTGTCTGTGGGTTGTATGTGAGTCACTGGGCTTGGTAGCCTCATGGATAGAGACATCTGTGAATGGCCAGTGGACATTTACTCTGGTCAGTTCCCCAGGGATAATGTAAATTTCTTTCCCACTCTGCTGGGCCCACACAGCACCTGAGATGGGTGTTATCTGCCTAAATGTCAATCAATGTGCTGACTGCAGGACATCATGAAGCAAAACTAAGCCCTTGAAACTTCATCCCTGCCTTTGATGTATCCCCTTAAATAAACCACCAGAGCTATTTTCCCTTTGTCTAGTTCCAGAACCCATGTGGACTAGATCTATCAGAGGCTTCATCTTGTGTAAATATATTTCTGAGTTTTTGTGTTTTGTTATTTGCTAATTATCTGAGATTTTAGTTTTAGGGTGGCTTGGAGATTCCCCTGGGCAGAAAGAACCCTGCAGAGAAGCTGGCCTTTGTCCCCTTTCCGGACACAAACAAAATGGCCAGGAGGCCATGGGTTTTTCCCACCTGATGCTTAGAATTCAGAGAAAAGTCCATTCTACTGCCACCAGGAAGAAAGGAAAGAGAAAGGGATAGAAGGGGGCAGTGTTTGGCTTGAGCTAGACTAAGACAGCTGAGAATTTCTGGAAGAAATGGTTGCATTTTCAATGTGGGGAGGAGGCTTCAGTCTCTTGTGCCTGGTAAAGAAAGAATGGAAGAGAGAAGCCAGTTGCTCATAATTCCCTTGTAAGCCCTTTTAAGGCAAATCTCTAGAAAACAGGGCAAGAGATAGTCCAAGACCAGTTAACTTCCTCTCATCTGGGATCTGTCTACCATTTATTTTCCCCTTTCTTCCTCTGGTTAGATCAAGTAGGAGATCCATGGGAAATTGTTCAAAATCTTTACATTTCTCACTTTCCTCATCTATAGTATAAGGGACTCTGTTGAAGTCATTTCTGTATTCTATTCCTGCCTTGCTTTACACTGTCTATGATTCTTTTATTTTTTATTTTTTATTGTTGGTTGTTCAAAACATTACAAATTTCTTGACATATCATATTCCACACTTTGATTCAAGTGGGTTATGAACTCCCACCTTCACCCCATACACACATTGCAGAATCACATCAGTTACACATCCATTGATTTACATATTGCCATACTAGTGTCTGTTGTGCTCCGCTGCCTTTCCCATCCTCCCCCCTCCCCCCTCCCCACCTCTCCCCTCCCCTCCCCTCCTCTCTCTCTACCCCCTCCACTGTATAACCCTGAGGGTCTCCTTCCATTTCCATGCAATTTCCCTTCTCTCTCCCTTTCCCTCCCACCTCTCATCCCTGTTAAATGTTAATCTTCTTCTCCTGCTCTTCGTCCCTACTCTGATCTTAGTTACTCTCCTTATATCAAAGAAGACATTTGGCATTTGTTTTTTAGGGATTGGCTAGCTTCACTTAGCATAATCTGCTCTAATGCCATCCATTTCCCTGCAATTTCTATGATTTTGTCATTTTTTAATGCAGAGTAATACTCCATTGTGTATAAATGCCACATTTGTTTTATCCATTCGTCTATTGAAGGGCATCTAGGTTGGTTTCACAGTCTTGCTATTGTGAATTGTGCTGCTATGAACATCGATGTAGCAGTGTCCCTGTAGCATGCTTTTTTTGGTCTTTAGGGAATAGACCAAGAAGGGGAATAGCTGGGTCAAATGGTGGCTCCATTCCCAGCTTTCCAAGAAATCTCCATACTGCTTTCCAAATTGGCTGCACCAATTTGCAGTCCCACCAGCAATGTACAAGTGTACCCTTTTCCCCACATCCTCGCCAGCACTTGTTGTTGTTTAACTTCATAATGGCTGCCAATCTTACTGGAGTGAGATGGTATCTTAGGGTGGTTTTGATTTGCATTTCTCTGACAGCTAGAGATGGTGAGCATTTTTTCATGTGTTGATTGACTGTATGTCCTCCTCTGAGAAGTGTCTCTTCAGGTCCTTGGCCCATTTGTTGATTGGGTTGTTTGTTCTCTTATTGTCTAATTTTTTGAGTTCTTTGTATACTCTGGATATTAGGGCTCTATCTGAAGTGTGAGGAGTAAAGATTTGTTCCCAGGGTGTAGGCTCCCTATTTACCTCTCTTATTGTTTCTTTTGCTGAGAAAAAACTTTTTAGTTTGAGTAAGTCCCATTTGTTGATTCTAGTTATTAACTTTTGTGCTTTGGGTGTCCTATTGAGGAATTTGGAGCCCGACCCCACCGAATGTAGATCGTAGCCAACTTTTTCTTCTATCAGACGGCGTGTCTCTGATTTGATATCAAGCTCCTTGATCCATTTTGAATTCACTTTTGTGCATGGCGAGAGAAAGGGATTCAGTTTCATTTTGTTGCATATGGATTTCCAGTTTTCCCAGCACCATTTGTTGAAGATGCTATCCTTCCTCCATTGCATGCTTTTAGCCCCTTTATCAAATATAAGATAGTTGTAGTTTTGTGGATTGGTTTCTGTGTCCTCTATTCTGTACCATTGGTCCACCCGCCTGTTTTGGTACCAGTACCATGCTGTTTTTGTTACTATTGCTCTGCAGTATAGTTTGAAGTCTGGTATCGCTATACCGCCTGATTCACACTTCCTGCTTAGCATTGTTTTTGCTATTCTGGGTCTTTTATTTTTCCATATGAATTTCATGATTGCTTTCTCTATTTCTACAAGAAATGCCGTTGGGATTTTGATTGGCATTGCATTAAACCTATAGAGAACTTTTGGTAATATCGCCATATTGATGATGTTAGTTCTGCCTATCCATGAACAGGGTATATTTTTCCATCTTCTAAGATCTTCTTCTATTTCTCTCTTTAGGGTTCTGTAGTTTTCATTGTATAAGTCTTTCACCTCTTTTGTTAGGTTGATTCCCAAGTATTTTATTTTTTTTGAAGATATTGTGAATAGAGTGGTTGTCCTCATTTCCATTTCAGAGGATTTGTCGCTGATATACAGGAATGCCTTTGATTTATGCGTGTTGATTTTATATCCTGCCACTTTGCTGAATTCATTTATTAGCTCTAATAGTTTCTTTGTAGACCTTTTTGGGTCTGCTAGGTATAAAATCTTATCATCTGCAAATAGTGATAATTTAAGTTCTTCTTTTCCTATTTTTATGCCTTTAATTTCTTTCGTCTGTCTAATTGCTCTGGCCAGTGTTTCGAGAACTATGTTGAACAGAAGTGGAGAGAGAGGGCATCCCTGTCTTGTTCCAGATTTTAGAGGGAATGCCTTCAGTTTTTCTCCATTCAGAATGATGCTAGCCTGAGGCTTAGCATAGATTGCTTTTACAATATTGAGGTATGTTCCTGTTATCCCTAGTTTTTCTAGAGTTTTGAACATAAAGGGATGCTGTACTTTGTCGAATGCTTTTTCCGCATCTATCGAGATGATCATATGGTTCTTATTTTTAAGTCTATTGATGTGGTGAATAACATTTATTGATTTCCGTATATTGAACCAGCCTTGCATCCCAGGGATGAATCCTACTTGATCATGGTGCACAATTTTTTTGATATGTTTTTGTATCCGATTCGCCAGAATTTTATTGAGGATTTTTGCATCTAGGTTCATTAGAGATATTGGTCTGTAGTTTTCTTTCTTTGAAGTGTCTTTGTCTGGTTTAGGTATCAGGGTGATGTTGGCCTCATAGAATGAATTTGGAAGTTCTCCCTCTTTTTCTATTTCCTGAAGTAGCTTGAAAAGTATTGGTATTAGTTCTTCTTTAAAGGTTTTGTAAAACTCTGCTGTGTACCCATCCGGTCCTGGGCTTTTCTTAGTTGGTAGTCTTTTTATAGTTTCTTCTATTTCCTCAATTGATATTGGTCTGTTTAGGTTGTCTATATCCTCCTGACTCAATATGGGCAGATCATATGACTTAAGAAATTTATCTATGCCTTCACTATCTTCTAATTTATTGGAGTATAAGGATTCAAAATAGTTTTTGATTATCTTCTGTATTT